TGCATTGGTAGGGAACTGCGGTTGCGGTGTTAATTGCATTGGTAATGCATTTAATGGAGCAACTGCTTGTGTAGATAATATTTTCGGTGCTACAGAGGATCCATGTGTTGGCATTATAAAAACTGGTGCCGATACTTTAGTTTGCACCAAATAAACTGGTGCTTTATCACTTTGTGCTGTTGCTTCAAAAAATAATTTTTTTAATATGTTAGGGCAGATGTTATATGTGATAAACAAAGTTATCAATTTAAAAAAGTTCTGATAAATTTTAAACAGAATTTTATACAAATTATACAAATTATAATGCTGTACTTCTGGCAAGTTTACTGTGTAACTATACAGTTTTATTAAACAAATGGAGAAAGGTAAAATAGTGGTAACTGTGTTATACCTAAAGTAAAAGAATGTGCAAAATTTATTTTTTTAAAGTAATTAAGATAAAGACACTAGTTTGACGAGAACAGTATTAGTGAATAACCAGATACGTACCTCTTGGTATTGGCGACGGTAAAACAATTATTGGCTTTGGTGCTTCAAATGAGGTTACTGAAGATACACGTTACAAGTTTGACTCAGATTTTCTTAATCATTGATAGTTCTAACAATCATTTTCTTGGTAAGTCTAACAAAAAAAAATTCGCTGCTTGTTTAGTTCAGTTGTCAAGCAAGTAAAGAATAGAAATGAGTTATTTTACCTGTTCCAGGAAGATATGGATGTTGGGCTTGCTGGTATTTACCATATCCAAAACGTCCGTATCTGTAGCGACTTGCTGCTGGAAGTGGCCGGTAAGGATACGGAAAAGCATAAAACTGAGGGTGTAATGGTTCTCTAACTCTTATAACTCGGATTTGTTGTTGAACTGGTCTTGCGGCTGTACCTGCAGAGATATTATAGTTATCTACAAAAAAAATAATCTGTATATTAAAAATTTGCTATAACTTTTCCTGTTCGACAAAAGAAATAACTTATCAGTATTTTTTTTAATAAAAGACTTTAGACTTACGAATTCTATACCGAGGCATAACAGAAGTTAAGTAATTATAAGTTGTTTGAGCAGAAGCTGAAAAGCCTCGAGTTGGCGAATAAGGATAAGAGAATCTACGAGGGAACGACATTGAGGACATTGGTGTGATGGGCTTGTCAGCTGACTCATAAGTAACTGGCGGCAGCACTGTTTCCTGCTGTCCGATTTCTGATTTAATTACAGGCGGACTAGGTGTAAGTGATTCTCGTCCATCCAGGAATTTTATACCAACCAGACGCGGAAGATTTGGTTTTGGGAACTCAACAAATTTGATCCCAACCAGGCGTGGCAAATTTGGTTCAGGTTTTCTCACGAATTTGACTCCCACTAGTCGAGGAGTGTTTGGCTCTGGCTTTCGAATAAACTTTACCCCAACCAAACGTGGTGTATTTGGCTCAGGAGGACGAACATATTTGATTCCTACCAAGCTTGGTAAATTCGGTCGCGGTCTTTCCATGAACCGCACCCCTACCAGACTAGGTAGCCTTGAACTTTGTTCATCAAGAACGTTAGCAAGTTGTGGACCCGATTCATAACCTGGTTTTAAACTAGCCAATTAGTGTAGCAACAGGAAACGGTAAAATTGCTATATGTTATTCTTTGTCTGTGTTTTCTTCTTATAAACAGTATGCAATTTCATATTAGAAATAGAAACGACGTGTAAAATTTACGGTCATTTTAGTGCATCTTGTTAAACTGTTAAAATAAATATCTTAACCTAGATAAAGAAAACTTAAAAGCTCATTATAGTAAGAACTTAAGATAAATACTTTAATCTGTTGTAATTACAAATAAAACTGCTTACTTTATAGCTTTCTTTAAAAAAAAAATTGAGATATATCAACAGACTACATACCTCTATGGAGATTATGAACTATTGGCGGTAGTTCTGGTAACTTTGATAGTTCAGATCTAACTGTAAAAAATCGTTTCAAATTTACAAATAACTAGAATTGTAGCACTTTGAATTATTTTGTCAATTATAATCTTAAGTATATGAGAACTATAACACAATAAAAATAACACAATTATTGCTTCCAAATTTCATCTTTTTCAAGCGTCAGATGATAGGACAAATGTATACGTCGAAAAATAATCTAATTACAAAACGATTCTACATTTTTTTAATGCTTTTTTTTGAGTAATGTTTATTGTATGAAAAGATATACGTATAAACTCTCTGACATAAATAATATTTCAAAATTTGCTAGTGCAACTAACAGTACTGCTTATTTTTATTTTGCTTACAATAAGCTGTGTTTCTTTTTTTTTTTTTTGTCTTTTATTATATTCTTTATTCAGTTTTCGCTGCTCGAATACTTTTTGAAATTCTCATTAAAAATCAAGAAAACATTGAGAAGAGTTTTATAGACTAACCTTCAGAGAGCACAAAACTAACGAGGATCAACAACAGGATCATAGCGGTGCAGCAGAACTCAAGCAAAAACCAATTGATGACGGCACAAATTTAAGCTTCGTCAGTATGTTATAGATTTCATTTGTATGTACGGCAAAATTCTCCTTCATTTTTAAACAAAAAACGTCTACACGGATTCTGGAGATGAATTCATTGTTCATAAAAACATCACTTTGAACAAAAGAAAGCAAGAATTTTTATTTAACTATTGGAATTTTTCTTCAAAACAATGGATCTATCAATACTTCTATCGTTTTTACTTTTTCCTTATTTTTTCAACGTTTTCTCTTGCAAAATCACACATTTTCTGTTTTCTAATTTTTTTGGCTTTCTAAATTTATTAATAATTTGATATTATCTTTAGCAGTAGCTCAGGTTACTCCCAGAATAAAGCTTAGAATGGTTAACAAAGAAGTCTCAAAAACATTCAGAATTATACTGCAGTATTTTCCTATTTGAATCAACAGAAGCACTGCAGTTACTTTATGACAATTTTATGTTTCCATATATATATATCGTTGCTAATAAGCAGTAATAGCTACCTAGTTACCGTAACCGTAGCTACAACAGTTGAAATCAGAAAAAATTTATATGAATTAAATAGATTAAATTCTACCTTTTTATGAACAGGAATAAGCAAAATAACGTTTAAACTTCATAATTTATAGCCGCAACCACAATTTCACAATTACAGAAATTGCAAATGTAGCTAGAGATCATGCACTGTTTCATTTGTTTGTACTGGTTTAACTATCTTTAATCACACGATGATATCACTGTTCAATTTACAATTCGGTTTATACAATTTGAAGCTAATAAACGTAAATTTCTCAGCTTGTTACTACTTTTTCTATAAGCATTTTAAAGTTATAAAAGTTTTTCATTAAAATATCTTTTTTCAAGAATACGTCTCAAAATAGCGCCTTTTTTGCTGCCAGTTAGACGACAATAATTTTTAATGTTTGGAATTGCAAAACCACTCTATTGAACAAGAAATACAGTAGTTGATTATGAAAACGAGAAAACTTTCAAAAAAAGATCTTGCAGCTAAATTTCTTTCATATTTCAAAAAAAAAAAAGACTTTCAGTCTTTTTTTGACAAATAGACATTCTGCACTGTTCGTCAACGTAATATCAGTTGTTTTAATAGTATTAAACAGTTGAAAGAATTAGTTTTTTTTTAGAGCATTCAGAGTTGCTCAAACCGAGACAGATGCATGCAAATTAACTTACCATTGAAATTTGTTTTTTTGGCGGATAATCAATAAATTTAGGTGTGGTTTCGTCTTAATCGATGTTTGTCGAACAATAAAACATAATAATAGCAACAATAATACTAACAATAATAATGATAATAATAATAACAATAATAATCATAACCATAATAGAAATAATCAGGATAGTGATGATAATAATAATGACAACAAATCACACTAAATATCAGTTTTTTTTTCAAAAAAAGATCAAAGATAAGAACTTTTAAAAAACGTACAGAACTTTTCTGACATAAAGAAACAGTTTTATAAATTGCAAAATGTAATTTTAAAAAAAAACTGTTGAATTTTTTGCTAAAAGATTTATGAATATTAGACCGCAAGTAAAACAGTTGCGAAAGCAAAACCAAACTAGTTGTGCTAAATTACTCAGTAATTGGTTATTTTACTGAGCTGTGTATCATCAGTTCAAAGCCGCTTGCAAGCTATGCTTTTCTTTTGACAGTTTTCCTTTGTTTGATACTTGACTCTAATATGATTTTACATATATAGTAATTGTAGCAACCAAAGGCATCAGTACTTTGCGTTTCCAATAAAATTTTTCAGTAATGGCACTCCAGGACTTATAAATCACTGTATCAGCAAACCTGTGTGTTGCACTTCTGTCTTATTCTCGAGAATTCTGAAAATAAAAAAGCAAATATCTTTTAATTTTGTTAGAACTTTGCTTTTTAGGCAGGCCTAAAATTTACTTAGTTTGTAACATTTATTGTCACATTACACGTCTGACCGACATTTTACATAAAAGTCTGACAAAACGTAATTATGTACATTTATACAGCTACTCAATTAAGATATTCTACTTTTTGTTATAACTTCTTCTGTGATGAACTGAATATTTTGTAGCTGAGTTAAAGTATCAGTTTGAAGGTTGTCAAGCGTAGTTAGCCTACAATACTGTTGACTGCGATACAGCAGTCAAACAACAATCAAGAACACGTTTTAAGATAATCTTTATTTATAATCTTCACAAAAAGTAGTGCTTCTGTAGGTAGCGCTTAATTATTTGTTAGAATCAAAATCTTATCTAATAAATTGGGTTTTTTAACCGCTTATACAAAGCTGTTAATCTCTAATATTGTTTTTTTTTAGTCGCTCAGCTTTATATATTTTATTTTAATTGTCAACATGAAACAAATTGATAGCTGTTTAAAAACTAAAAATAGCAAATGAAATTTTCAAACTAATTGGTGAGTACCTATTTCATTCTGCACATTAATTTTGATTTATTGACTTTTACTACTTTACACAGAAGTACAAAAACAAAACAGAATAAACTTTTTCAAGAAAAATTGAAATTTTCATCCAACTCGTGAACACTCATTGAGTATTAAACTTGTGAACACTCATTGAGTATTCCATCTAACAAAAGTTTCCAAAATTTTAGCAAAAAAGGAAGATTGTTTTGTGGTTTAGAAATATGTATTAAGTGAGAAACAATTAAAGTTTAGCATTAGACTGGTTTATCATTATCACCTTAGCACCTGATCAAACGACGGTTTGAGGAATATTTGAGGCGCGATGTCTAACAATATCGCCTTGTCATTGGAGTGTTTTTTTGTCAACAGACAAAGAACTGGCCGCTTAGAGATCATCTGTCCAAAAACTACATAAACTACAGCGAACATTTATGTACAGAATAACACCCACATACCTATCAATGTTATATACACCGTAATAATACAAATAAATAACGTAGAAGTCTAGGTTTTAACAGATAAAATGATCTAATACAATTATGCAACAGTTAAAAATTAACGTAGAAGACAAGCGGAAGTAAAAAGTTTATTGCTTAAGAGAGAAACTGTCAACAGATTTACGAAGGTGTATAAATCAAAATGCATCATGGCACCAAAGAAAAAAAAACTATTACAAGTAAACTGTTAACCGCACAACTGATAATGTTTTTATCTAAAGGTTTTACAATACTTTGTTAATTGATTGTCACTTTGATTTTCCAATTCAGCTTCTATTTGGTCACGTAAGTAATAATGTGCATTAGGGTTATCACAGATGCTGGTATTTTATGTCTGAAGGTTTCAACTAAAAACAAGATTTATTATAGAAAGCAGAAAAATGCAGTTAAAGGAGGCTTGGAAGATGAAAAACAGAATGATACGACAAATGATACTTTATGCAAACTTTTAAATAGAAAACAATTTTTTTATTCTATTTTTCCCATAGTTATTTTAAAGACTTTGTAAAAATAAAAAAAGAACATGTAAAAATCTATTTTTTTCTTACGTTGTTTTCTGACGCTTCTTATATACTTTTTGCATTATTTTGTTAACTAAAAATTTGTTTTTTCAGTTATTCGTCTTTTCTCTTCGCTCAAAAACTTTTCCATCAGTCATGCAGGAAATACATATCTGTGCCATAAAATTTAACTCTTACATATACATTATTTATTTTTTTTGAGTAATGACGGATTAGCAACATTAATTTATTAAAAAATCTGCAAAGATATACATTGTTACTAAGTGCTGAATAAAAGAGTGTTGTATATAAGAAGAAAATCAAAAGAAACTTTGCAAATGCAACTGCTCTGAATTAATCAAATATTTCTTAGAACTCCGGAAGAACCCCGTTTTAATATTGGCCACAAGCTCTCCATTATGCACCATCACAAAGTTGAGTATCGTTGACGTTTTCTAAACCGACAGTTTCACTTCATGCTTTATGGTTGTCTCAACATCTCTCGTCAGCGACAATTTAGACAAAGGGGAAAACGGTTCTACACGTCAAAAAGCTTTTAGTGCATTTGTAAGCATTTATAACCTCAAAATGTTAATTTTTATCTATGCGGTTCTTTTATTACGTTCTTAAACTTTTAATTTCCAACGACTAAATGCTTAGCATTAATTGTCTAGAGCCACAGCTTTTGTCAAGGATAATTGTAGCGTACGGAATAATCAAATATCCAGAACTGCAAGACACTGCTTTTAATTTCTGAAAATTACAAAAATACGATTACTTTGTATTGAAAAATGGATATGGGCAAAAGTAACTGTTTTACAAGAAATAATCGTCAAACAAAGAATAAAAATTTTTTCGTAAAAGTCGACTGCAGAATTGTCAATCTATCAAATAAAGCAAAACTTTTTTGTACTTATTAAAGCTTTTGAACAGCATTGCATATTTGAGCGAAATAAAAGCAGTTAGGCTGATTACTGTTGACTAAGAAAGTTAATATTTTATAATGCAATCGACGATCCAACCTTATCTGTCGTTTATTTTATATTTAAAACTTTACAAAAGTTCTGTAGGTAACAATTCAAATATTATAGAATTTTCTATAACACAGCAGTGTTTTACCAGTGCAAAGTGTACAGCAACACCTGCAGAGACGTTATTCAGACAAGATAAAGAACAAAGATTACACATTTATGCTGCATCACAAATATCAAACAACGATTACAAAATTAATTTTAGCAGGAGAACTGTCAAAACAAGCAAAGTAGTACATTACGTCTTTTCAGAGTCTAATTAGAAAAGCTCAGAAAAATTCTTCAAAAGTAGGGTATAAAGTGTATTAATTGCTTTTTAGCTGCGATCAGCTCTTAGAAACATCAAAATTTTTGGTTTTAAAAAGCCAACATGTTCTCTTTTGAGCAGTTTTGCTCAACTTTTCACTGCCAAAAAATGTGGTCTTGGTGGTAAGAATAAAGTGAGAACAAATCTCATTTTATTTTTTAAAAATCTTTATTTTAAAGAGGAAAGCAGAATTTT